ACATACACACACACACAAACGCACACACACCAAAAAAAAAAGCAAACAAACCCTCACCGAGGCCCAGAAGGTTCTTCAGCGTGTTCTGCACATTCTTCGACTCGCCCAGCACGCGGTAAATCTCGTTCATGCGAGGAAAGACTCCCGACACCCGGGGTGTGTCGAACAACGTCTGGAAATGGCTGACGATGCTCTCCAGGGTGGGTCGGGACACGTCCTCCATCACGGTCTAGGGGAACCACAAACAACGATTTCTTTCTTAGAATTACAAAGTCATTTTGTAACAGACTTTTTAGGCTGTTTTGAGTTAGGAATTTGAGTTATTATTATGATCATGAGGTCAGAAACCAAAGGCGAGGCGCGCTGACAAAAAAGAGCTACTTCTCGCAAATCCACGAAGGAAAATATCGGCCCCAAATCAAGGGCCATATTTATAGATTTTAAACCAATGCCATTTTCTTCAAATTGAACATGTCTTTTATCATTTTATACAAATAAATCGTAAAAACTCAACCTGAAATTTTGATGTACTTATTTCCTATTTCCATCGGGCAAGAAGTAACTCATTTCGTCAGCACGCCTCAAAAATGTTCTATATTATGCTCTATCAAAATTGCAGGATTATTCTGAAACACTATCAAGACATTCAAAGAATTACATGTTCAAAAATCTTTGACATGTCGTTACCGGTTGTGAAGAATCATCTATTGTTTCTAGGATTTGAAAAATGTAATAAAAAGAATTAAACTGAAGGGAATCTTCAAAGTCAAATTTCTCAAAATTATGTACTGAACAGATAGAACTTTGCAATTCTAGGCTAGCGACAAATTTACTTAGATTATTTTAATCTTTCACTTTTCCTTATAAGCCTAATCATTTATCTATCAAATATTGTGCTCTCAACATTGAATCCTCCCCTCCCCCCCTCCTCCCGAAATATTATATTTATCCCCAAAATAGGACAATTCTCTCTCTTCATATCCTCCTTCTGTCTTGCTCTCCCTCTCTCTCTCTCCCTCCCTTTCTCTCCCTCCCTCCCTCCCTCTCTCTCTCTCTCTCTTTCTCTCTCCCCCTCCCACCCACC